GGGCGCCTGGCCGCTCACACTGGGGCAGTGGGGGCAGCTCCGGCACGCCAGGTGGGTGGGCAGCGGCAGCAGGGCCCTTGGGTGGCTCAGTCCGGTGCCCCCATGATGGCCCCGCACTCTAGGTGAGAGACTAGCTCGCCTAGTGAGCAGGCCGGCCCTGGCCACACTTAGATCAAGCTTAAGGTTGCGGGGGGGGGGGGGTTGGCTGAGAAAAGGGATGAACCAGTACTGCCCTTCCCAACTCCCCCCCGGCCAGAGCAGACCTATATTTACTGGCAGTCTGATAAGGAGAGCAATTTTCCACTTCTAGAAAGAAACTGACTTTGGATTCCGAGTGCTGGGGAACTGCTGATTCCACTGAGATTCTATTGTCAGTTCAACCAAAGGCAAATTGGACATGCTTCGGAAAGTGAGAAACAGGCTAAAAATAAAGTCCAAATCTGAAATGTTTGTAGGACGCTCCCTTCAAGGGCAAATCCAGTCTGGCAAAACACTTGATGTGTCATGGAGTTACTTCCTGTTACCCCGAGCACCACCTTCTCCTATGAGAGAGACAGAGACAGAGAGAGAGACAGAGAGAGAAGAGGTGGCTATCACAGGACACAAGATGGCTGATTTGGAGAGTGCTGTGAGGAGATTGGTGCTTGATTGGTGTTTGCCAAGTTAAACACAACAAATGAGATGGGAAGACGCACAGGGATCTCTTCTCCTGTCCTTGAACACACACACACACACTTCGTCCCTTTTGTGCATCTACCATTGCTGAATACTTTGGGGGCGCATAGTAGGCCCACACCACAGAAAGGGGACTGTGACTGTCTTTGACTCTCTGCCATATGTCCACTGCACACTTCACAAAATTTAACCTAGGGTCCAAAACAATGGCAGCAAAAAGCCCCAATGTTTCTTTAAATTGTGCTCAAGGCAAAGTGCTCTAAATCTGCCTTGCCAACTGAAGAGGGGAGATTTGGTGTTACCAAACACTCTATACAAGATAAGCTGAGGTAACAGGCTTCAAAGAATGGGACAGAAGAAGGAGCATAGAGTCTGAGGACAAATCAGATTTGAGGCGACATGTGCAGATGAAATACATATTATTTTCACAATGGGGCAAAGTGTGCTCTCCAACCCCACTCCCGGTCATTTCAGGTCAGGAAAAGTCATGGGGGGAGCCTGTCCCCCACACCACCGTCCTTATGTAAATCGGGCCCACACATACCTCAGAAGTGTCATACTTCAGAACACGACTTTCCACCCAACCCAGGATTGTCCCTGGGGAAAATGTAACATCTCATCAAGCCTCAGCCTACAAACCAGACCAACGCCTAGCAAGCAAACAGATCTGCCTTTTAGAAGGAGACGACACATCTCCACCTGCAGTTAGTGCTTGCTGTCATTATCAACCCAATCTTCACAGGGCATATGGGGTTCCCTCAATTTGCCTAGGCATCAGGTTTACAGCTTTCCTAGAAATTGTAGTGGAATGGACAAGCATTTATCTCTTGTGAAGCCAAGAGACTAGGACACATACTAGCCAATGAACAGAAACTTTGACTGTGGGCTATGGTTTTTTTGGGGGGTAGAGAGCCCTTCCATGACATTCTTGATATTTAAAAACAATTTTAAAACTGTGTGGCGTTTCTTTGCTTACATGCTGGCCCTTCTGCAGATCCTTAACATTGTCTTGGAGAGACAGAAGGTGGGTTGCTCGATTGCTTCCCAGCCTGAAGATACCAAAAGGAAAGGCAGCAGGCATAGAGCAGCTACACAGACATTTATTCTGAGAGTGCAGAAGCTGCACGGAACAGCTAAGGGAGAGAGAGCCAGCTAGATCGGGCAAGGGCAGGCTGGGAACATGAGATGGATCTGGACCAAGCCCCAACATTTCCTGTCCAATTTAGGGGACTTCCTGTCCCTTTTATGTTACCCGAAGTCACAAGCCAAGTCAAACCCCCTGACACAGGGAGGCACCACTCCTCCACTGCCTGCACCCCAGGCTCCATGCAATGTGGCATATACCCAGGTCTCTGTCCAGACCAGACCCCACCCCCTAGACTAGCTTCAAGTCAAATAATTTACTTCCTCCTAGATTATGTTTTGGAGGCAGGATTTTCCTTAAGGCAAAATGAATTGATGTGCACGGCGCTGCATATTCTAAGCAGGACCTTCTGACACCAAAGATGACCTCAGCTGAATCCTGCAGCTGTCTGATATGAGGCTGGCTCATGGCAATGGGCACACACCTGCTTACTTGGTTCCTCTTAGTCATGGGAAGCCTTGCCCCCTTTAATCTCTGGAAACTTCACTTTCATGAAACATCGCATCTTTAAAGCGGTCTTAGCAGCCACGAGGGCTGCAAACCTTAAATGATAGCATACATTCTTGGGATGCCAAATTACACACCCAATACAAGGTATCTGTGCCTGGCTGGTGGGCCCGAAGCACCGCAGAATGTGAACAGCCCTCCTCGGACACTTCCAAAGGCCAAGGACGAAGTCATTTACGGAATAATCCCGTGCAGAGTTATTCTAGACTAAGGCCACGGAAATCAGTGGACTCAGACTGGAGTAACTCTGCACAAGATTGTACTGTTGGTGATGTGCCTATTCAGAACGTTAAATCTACTCCTCAGTGTCACCTCAGCTGAACACAAAGGCTCACCCACTACAGCACACATTATGCTAGGTCTGCAGTCTGACGCTCACCCAGAGCAGTGTGGCCTCAGACCGACAACCTCACTGCAGAGAAAGAGCCCCCCCCCAGCTTGCAAACAGTTCTCTGGGGTCCCAGGCAGGGGAAGGTCGGTCCCAGCACCTGCAACCTGAGATCCTTTACCTGGAAATGCCAGGAACTGAACCAGGGACCTGCTACATGCAGAGCTCCAGCATGCCAGAGGTGTGAGGCCATGCTTCTGCCCCCTTCTGCTCAATCATAATGAAAGGAACCCTGACAAGGTGACTGAAATACATATATAGGGTTTTAGTTCACAATATCCCCTACTCTTACCATTGGTGACTCTATGCACACTTTCCCAATCTCACCCTCCCCCCCACCCATCTCCTCAGTCATTGTCTCCCAAGCCACTGGGCCTTCCTTCCTTCGGCAAGGCAAGATTCAGGCTTGATCCTCTTCGGCGGGATGGTTCCAGGATGACCTCCTGGCGTGCCTGGCTTTCACTGATGACTTTTTGAATAAACTCAAAAGAAGAGTCAGCTTGTGGTGACTGTCTGAGGGCAGGTTGGTAAATCACCAGCCCAACAGTCATTATTTGGGATGCTGTTCAGCAGCAGCAGCAGGGATCGTGGCGGAGGAGCCTCCATCAGGCAAGCCACACTGAAGAAGCCGTGGCGCTGAGGCGGGGGTCTCGGGTGCCTCCCACGGCCCACACAGCCAGCTCCGGGCTTTTCAGACCACAGCTCTTCCCTGACGCAAGCCAAATCGCCTCAGGGCCGAGAACTTCTATAATCGACCAACTTATGGGCAACACGGTGGTGGTTCGGAGGTGGTGTGCGGGAGACGGGCCGGAGGTGCAGTCGATCTTGGTGACAGGTGACCAGGGCTGGGCGCCGCTCAAGGACCCCGCGGCTACACGCCATGCGCTTCTCGTCCAGTGCGGTCAGGTTGTACTCACAGAAGTCGATGAGCAGCTCCACTTGCTCGTGGAGGGAGAGAGATTTGTACCGTCTCTGCGCCAGGAAAAAGAAGGCTTCCACAAAAGCTTGCAGGCCCATCCCTTGAAGGAAAAGAGAAAGGCCATTAGAAGCCAAAGGAGGACTTGCTACCTAGAAATATCCAGGCTAGCACCTCCAAAAGAACATTCTCCTTACCTCCCCCCTCCTTACCACCTCCCAGCTGACTGGCTAAGCTTTGAGACAGTGAGATGCATCTGCTGAGGGAGCAGCTATAATGTCAAGGAACGCTCTCCAACCTTCTGATGGTTTAGAGGTAAATGTGCCAACACTGACAAGCCATATAGCTCCAGTGGAGGAATTCTAACATCGGACTGGACGGTCACTGGGGGTCTTTCTGGTGTACAGGCAGACAATGAAGGTGAGTGGGAGGAAGGCCTCAGCAATTCCATTAAAGGAAAGGGGACAGAGCAGGCGGGAAGCTGAGACGCACGGGTCAGGATGGAGGCAGAGTGGTACAGAGGAGCTTGAAGGAAGAGGGAGTGGAGTCAAGACATGAGAACGTGACAGAAGAAGGAGAAAAGGCAGCTGGGAAAACCATGCACAGGAACTAGCTAGGGTTAGTAACATTTAGAGTAGGTTTGGACAGGGGCTGTGGCTCAGTGGAAGAGCCTCTGCCTTGCATGCAGAAGGTCCCAGGTTCAATCCCCATCTCCAGTTTAAAGGACCTGGCAGTAAGTGATGTGAAAGACCTCAGTCTGAGACCCAGGATGGCTGCTGCCAGTCTGACTAGACAAAATTGACCTTGATGGATCATTGGTCTGATTCAGTGTAAGGCAGTTTCAAGCAGGTATTTTTTACAGGTAATGGAGATCTGGATCCTGTAGAATTAGGAGCCAGGGAGGGAAAGTTGCCAAAGGCCTCACAGTGGATGAATTTTCACATATCAATACAAACAAGCCAGACTAATTTCTGGCTTCTGGTCTCTCCCAAACAAATCTTACATACTGTGGTACATTATGGCTCACACAATATAAAATTTCATGGGAAAGTATCCTAAAAGCAAAAAAAAAAGTTATTGGGAAATGACAGAACAAAGTTTGAGTCCAGTGGCACCTTTAAGGCCAACCAAGTTTTATTCAAGGTGTGAGCTTTCATCTGCACACACACTTCTTCAAGATACGGACATGTATAGTGGGAAAGTGGCTAGGATGTCCCTTGAAGCAGACTTTCTGATTCTGGGAGTTACTTAATTTCCTTTTCCCCCTCAAGAGCCTTGGGAGCCACCAGTCGCAAAACGGTGTCTCGGTGGAGCAAGTCACAAAATGGTAACTGAGTGGGTAGAGCCAGTCACAAAATGGTGCCTTGTGTAAAACTTGCGGCCATTCAGAGCAGGTCTGTAGTGCTTGGATGGGGGAACCTATCCTCTGCTGTTTTCCCAAAGCAAACCACCATCCCAAACCGTAACTTGCCCTGCAGAGAGAAAATGTACAGTTCCCATCCAGAGCAAAGGTTAGGGTTAGGGTGCCTCCTAATCCCTCACATAAATGAAGAGAGAAGCTGCTAATGTTCCTTTAAATGGAAGGATAAGAAAGTGATCTTTTGGAGGTCATCAGCTGATAGGGTTGCCATGTCAGAAGTGACTTGACAGCACTTACACAAGAAAGTGACTACACCCACACTGGATGAGGGGTGGAGAGCTACTTTTAAATGCTTGATGAATGACTGGCCAACTCCTGAGTGACCCTTTTCCCCACCCCTGCCTTAAAGAAAAGGCAGACAGATTTGATTTTGGAGCCTGGCTACCACAAAATAAACTGTTAAGGAGTCAGATTTGCTGAGCCCCCAAAAGTTGCTGAGTTCAAACCTAGATGTGACACATAAGCATCAAAAGACAGCAACTAAAATATGAGGCAGAGAGTAAGTATTCAATCATCTCCTGATTTTGACACCTGTCTGCAAATAAAAAACATAGGGGAAAGGATATTCATTAAGTACTGTGCCCATCACAAGACAACATCTGCATTTAACTGGTGGGTAACAAGCTGGAAAGGAGCTGCGGTGGCTCAAGTGGTTAAGATGCTGAACTGCAGGCTGTGGAAGGTTGGTAGTTCAGCAGTTCGAGACTCGAGTGTGCTGCATGACAGAGTGAGCTCCCGTCTCTAGTTCCAGCTCTTGCCAACCTAGCAGTTCGAAAGCAAGAAATTGCAAGTAGATAAATAGGTACCACTTCGGTAGGAAGGTAACAGCGTTCCGTGTGCCTTGGTGTTTAGTCATGCCGGCCACATGACCATGGAAATGTCTTCGGACAGCGCTGGCTCTTTGGCTTGGAAACAGAGATGAGCACCGCAACCCTAGAGTCGGATTCGACTGGCTTTTGAGCAAGGGAACCTTTACCTTTTTAGCAAGCTGGGAATGCCTGCATTGGCCAACACCAAGGCCATCCTGCCTCTCCAACTGGCCTGCCACACCTCCTCCTCTCTTGGCTACTGAAGTCCCACCTGTGGCCAGCACAATTCCCCTCAATACTGCACAGGCACAAGTCTGGAGCCAGTTTGCCCTCTGGCTCAGGAGATTGTTGTTTGTTTTAAACTGTACCTGGTAATTTGCTCATGCCATCAGGTGAAAGAGAGGGGAAGCTGCCTCATTAATAATAATCCCTGCTTTTTCCTGAACATGGCAGTAAATTAAAATTTTAGACTTCGTACCTAATTAAGACTCCGTGCCCCACTGTACTTTTGTAACCTGCCGGAAATAAGAAACTTGTGACGGGCCCAGGTGGTGAAGGGCAAATCCTTGAGGGGATTCGTTTCCAGATAAGACTTCATAGTGCATAGATTGTATTATTTTTGTAAACTCAATTTGGGCTTCTTGAGGCAGCAGGGAAAAGACCTCTTTTGAAACAGAACAATTATACTCTGAAGTATAATTTCCCTCAGCCGAGGGCTACAATTGGGGTCACTCATGAGGTGGGCGATGAACTGACTGGCAAATAACGCACCAGGTTTATCAGTGCTCAGCAGCAGCCAATTCCACGTGATATTTTATCAGTTGTGGTGAAACGGAAAGGGGAGTGGAAAGACATCCCCCCCCACTGCCCCATAAGTGATACTCCCCTAGAGCTTTTAAGAAAAAAAGTTAGAAACTCTATTTTACCTGGAGGGGGGAAAACAGCAATTATTGCATAACTGAACAGCTGGAAACAGGACCACAATCAAAGCTGCATCATGATAGGCAGTCCAGAAACGCCACCCGCTCCCAAGCAAAAGACATTTTAATTGGAGGAGGAGGAGGAGGAGAGGAGATTGGATTTATACCCCGCCCTTCACTCAGAGTCTCAGAGCGGCTTACAAACTCCGTCCCCTTCCCCCTCCCCACAACAGACACCCTGTGAGGGAGGTGGGGCTGAGAGAGCTCTGAGAGAAACTGCTCTTTCAGCTCTAGCATAACTATGGCTTGCCCAAGGTAATCCAGCAGCTGAGTGTGGAGGAGTGGGAAATCAAATCCGGTTCTCCCAGATTAGAGTCCACACACTTAACCACTACATCAAACTGGCTTAGCTGCTTTGAGATGTGGGTGTTTGTTTTTCACAGTCTTATCACAGGCTCACTAAGACTGGGCAGGCTTGCTAGTCTCTAATTGGGTGAGCGGGTTTTAAAAGGAAGTGATGTCAACAGGCCAGAACTCACACACAGCCCCTCAAAAATATTCTGTAGGTGTGTTCTGTTGAACAGATGCCACAGACAGGATCCTTAGCCTGGCAATGGAACAAAGGGCAAATGGCATTCTCAGTGGACCCAGAGGCCTTCCAGTCCTGGCCTCTTCACCCGTAAGACTGAAATCCACACGGAGTTCTGTTACAAGCACTGTGTGGAAGAATAAGATGTGGAGTCTTGTGAGCAAAAATTCTACTTTGTGAGCTACTGACATTAAAGTTGTGAGCAAGCAACTTGGCTACTGCATAAATTAGTTTGCTCTGGAGCCATCCTTCCTGAGCTAAGACAACGATGTGTGAGCTGGAGGCTAAACAACTGTGAGCTAGCTCACACTAACTCAGCTTAGAGGGAACACTGGTCACGAGCCAGGTATTCCTTGAATGTCTCCCATCCAAATACTATCCAGGGCAAGCACTGCTTATCTTCCAAAATCTGATGAGATTAGGCAAACCGGGGCTATCCAGGCCAGGGCCCAAATCCTAATTTTACACTCCGACCACTGCACCTTGCTGGCTCATGTCGAATCCCATCTAATTTAGAAATATTCAATGACTCTAGGTGTTCAAAGAAGCCTTGAGGCAGTTTAACCAACAATTATTATTTTTATTACTACAAACGGGGGATGACTAGTGGCAGGGGATACAATGTCAACAGAAGCAAAGACAGCCTTTGTGAATTAGAAATGTTGGGAGGCGTTCCGTGACATCACAGCTGTACGGCCAATTGTAGGGTCCCATAGATAAGCAGGGCACACTGCCCTCTCCTCCTGCTTCTTGTGTGGCTAGTAGACACAGCCCTTTTCTTAATTGTGGGAAGGAGCTTTTTCCCATCCAAAGGGCATCTCCATGTTTGCAGAATAAAACACAGTCACTAGATTTGCCTCTTGTGGGCAAGACACGGATGCCTCCCAACACGCACACCCCACCCCCAGTTTTCACTCAGTGGCATAATACTTCTGCGTGGATATTAAAAATAAAACTCATCTATTACCATTTTTAATAAAACCTGACAACTAAAATCATTGCAAGAGACACAAAACGAACATTTAAGGCTTACCGTCGTTAAGGTTCATCAGGATCCAGAGCACATATTAAAAACCTGGTAGGGAACAGACAGGAGTCGTCCCTTGCAAAATAAATGTCATCATTTTCCAAATGTGGGTTTTTAATTTTGCCTTCCCCTGCACATCTTCTTTTTACGGGCCCTCCGCTTGAGGCCATTTAAGCTCCATCTCCCCTTAGAACAAATTTATCTGCTTTCAGTCTGGAAAGCACAGGGCATTTGTGGGTTATACTTCCCTGGGCACATGGCTGTGAATTCCATTTGATTTGCTGAAAAATTTACATGAGTACAAAGAGTACATGAGTACAAAGAAACGAAATAGCATTTGTAAAGTGTTAATCAGGTGGCAGGCTGGGATGGCCAACTCCCTAAACTGCCCGTCCTGCTAGCACTTCCCTAGGCCCAAGTAGCAGCTGGAACACTGACCCAAGGAGACATCATCTGAGAGATATGAGACCTTCAGGTTTAGAGGAACAGGCTATGGACCCCAATGGACCCTACTCTGGCATACTGAACTTGATAAAGCAGATCAGCTGAATAAACAGCTCAAACTCTTCAAGGAATTGCATCACTGATTGCTCAACTCCATGCCCACGTTGCTTGGGGTGCCAGTAGACCCCGCTAGACAGGACCATTTTCTCTTATATTGACCTGCCCACCCTGGAGGTCCTGCTTTGTGTACCCAAACCACCTGGTGGGTGACAATTAGAAGCAGGGCCTTCTGCGTGATGGTGCTTCAGTCGTTGCCGTGCCCTTCTCAGTGGTTTGTCTGGCCTCTAGTCTGTTACGTTTCATTTTCCAAGTGAAAATGTGGCTCTATGCCCAGACAGTCTGTTCATTGGTTTTTGTAAAATGTGCTCTGGTTGATCTTATAAAATTTAATCCCTTCCTGGGATTGGTTTACCCAGCTTTTGAGTTGTGTGTTGAAGCTGTTGCATTGTGCTATTTTATTCTGCTGTATTATTGTTTTATTGCTCATTTTAATGTATTTATTTATTTGAATCCCAGCTTTCTGTTCAAAGGAACACCCAAGGCAGCTAACAAATATAAAACCTACTGTTATAATACAAACTGCGAATAATTAGCCATTAATTAACAAAATAGTACCGATTTCCAAATTCTTTCCATGGCAGGCAGCAAGGGGACGTGACTGTGCTCAGCCCTCCATTAGCTAACGATGGCTTGGCTTGGGACCAGAACACTTGCATGACCACCTTCTCCCATATTATCCAGCCTGCCAGTTAAGATCTATGTCACTTTTAATGAAGGGGTTGCTTTTTTGACACTATTTTCGTCTAGAAAATGTTGTTTTAAGCTGCTTATGGTCTGTTCTTATGATCAATGGTTTTTAATACAGGTTTTAAATTAATATCTTTTAATTGTTTGTTCTTATTATTTTTTATTTTGTAACCTGCCTCAGGCAGGTTCTTTGAGAGGTGGCATAAAATTCCTTTTCTACATAAATAAATAATTGCTTAGTGACTGTTTTAATTTTGTCTCATGCATGTTTGTGTTTTTATTGTCGTCATCTGCGTCAAGCATGTTTTCTGTAGCAAGAACTCCAATAAATAAGAGCAGAAATAATATAGAGCACCCTAGAATTTTGCACGGTCAGTTTTGACTTTGTACCCATTGTGAGTCCCTAGGTGGCATGTGTAAGATTCCTCGGAGGGCCCCCCATGTATTCACTGACCATACCTAGCACTGCTTAGCTTCAGCAAAGCAGCTGCATCATGTCCCTTCACAGCATCACCAATTTGGTCTTGGGGCATCCATCAAGATTCAAGAGGCATAAGTGAGGTTTTCTGGCTAGGAGTTGCAAGCCCCTTGAATGAGGATAATGCCAGAAAGTGAAACCCAAACAACATTTTTGCCTTCTAACACTCAGAAGGATTTTAAGAGTTCACCGTTGAGAATTTTACTATTATGAGTGTAATACTGTGACCCCTTGACAGATATATCGAACACATGTATTTATACCATACAGAACATTCATCAGGGCTGGGCAGCTCTTAGAGCTATTTCCAGAAGCAGTGTCTGACGGGAGACTCTGTCTTCATTTCCTTTTTTCCCCTGGATCCCTTAGAAGTAGCCAATTGCTGGTTACTACCACTTCTTCCCTCTAGGTCATCTGACCAGACCCACAGGCCCTTTCCTGAGCATCCCCAAGTCCAACAGGTTAAAACAAAACAGAGCATGGGCACCTGCTGGAGGCGCCTAGTACCCAACCTCTGACTGTCACGTTTCCATAGGAACTGGTGCATAGCATAGACCTGCTTAGGTACAGCAGCCAGGACCAATGCTCCCTCTAAGCTGTGGAGTCTTGTGAGCAAAAATTCTACTATGTGAGCTACTGTCATGAAAGCTGTGAGTGAGCGATATGGCTACTGCATAAATTAGCTTGCTCTGGTGCCATCCCTCCTGAGCTAAGACAGAAATGTGTGAGCCGGAGGCTACAAAAACTGTGAGCTAGCTCACACTAACTCAGCTTAGAGGGAACACTGGCCAGGACCATGGTGCAACAGCCACCACAGTCAGAGGAACAGGTGCAGAGACAATGGCAATTGGAAATGGCTGAGGGAAAGTGATCTGGTGGACCGCTATGAGCAAACACAAGATCGGCCTTCCTGGGTCCCTCTAGGCCACCATCTTTCTTTCAACAGCAGCCAGCCTCTGCAAAGCTAACAAGAACATCCAGAACAAGAGAAAGTTTGATCTAGCGGGTAAAAAAAGAACACCAACAAAAAAGGATCTGGGAAAATCTGCACAACAGCTGTATTTGGAGGGAAAGGAGGAGGAGGAGAAGGAGAATTTTGTTACTCTGATGCAGTGTAAATAAATATTTTTCACATCGCCCATCCTGGTCAGCAAAACAAAACAACAACAGAAAAGAGATGCTAATAAATAAAACCACACACACACACACACACACACACACACAAATCTGCACTATCTACATCCCATGAGCAGATTCTGCTTATCCGCAGCAATTTAAGATGCAAATCAAACACCAAACGCTAATCCAGAATTAACAATGGGCCAGATGGTAATGCTCGTTTGAAGCAATAAACATGAAAAATAGCTTCCTGTGGCTCTGATTGCCGATCAATTTCAGTTCTTGCTAATGAAATTCAGAAACTTGGACATTTCTGCTAACTTATTTCAGCAGCAGTGGAAAAGCTGTTTTGTGTGGTATTTTTTTGAAGGGGAAAGGCTGGTAAATTTGCATATGCCTCAGCAAAATTTTAGCAACGTGACAAGTCTTAGTCTGTAATGTGAACACTCCTATGGTTACTTCCACATATTCCGATTTCAGCCCCCTCCTCCGATTCTCACCAACAAACCCACCCTGAGTTTTGCTGCCACATACTAGCCGCTTTGCAGCAGGAATATCAGGGCTACATCAGTGAGTATCTGCTTATTGAAGTCTTGCTTGATAAATGTCAACTTTTGAATGGTCCCCTTTATCTTTAGAACCAAGAGGGGTTTTTTTTATGTTTTAGCTAGCACAAAAAACCAAAACAAACCCAGCGACAGAAAATGCTTGAGGACTGTACTAGGAAAGGGATTAACAATCCTATGTAATCCACAAGATAGTCTCCTTAAAGTTGGAAAAGGGATTTACCTGATTCTCTTTGGTCTACTCCAAGGCTATTCCACTTTCTGCTGATGTCGATATACAGTATGTCTGCAGCCGCCATGCTGAAGCTGCTGTTACTAATCTTGCAGTTTCTGGGGAGCGTGAAAAGGTAGAAGGGAAAAGACAGCGGAAATTAAGAAGGGATCATCTGGGAAGGTAAAAATGGAGAAGTTCTTCCACTGACAGCATCAAACCAGGCAGGCCCAGTGGCTACAAGGGTGGATGGAAGTCTCTGGTTCAAATCTCACTCAGCCAAGAACTCACGAGGCAGGAAAGCTGCTGTCTCTTGGTCCACATGCCTCCCTTCCCCCCTACAGCATCTAGTATCCAGAGGTATACAGCACGGAGGCTGCATTTAGTTTGCATGGCTAAAAATGTAGATACATCTGACTCTGACCATACCCGCATCAGACTACCGCAGTGCGCCCTATATGGGGGTTTGCTTAGAGATTGTTTGGACACTTCAGTTGATTCAGAATACAGTGGCTAACTGACACAGGTCAGAGGAAATGCATTTCACCAGAATTGAAAGAACAGCATTCCAGGGTATGATTCAAAGTGCTGCTTCTTATCACTAAAGTTCTAAACTGCCTAGGACCCAGGTAACTTTGAAGACTGCCTGCAAACATCTGTCGCACTGTTAAGATCGTTGTTAGAGGAGACCCTGATTCTGTGTGCTCCCCTTCTTCTGGAGCTAAATGGGCAGCCATAAGAGACAGGGGCCCCTTCTGTGGTGTTGCCTCATCTAGGGAAATCCTTCTCTGCCTCCCTTCTTTTGAGTTTTAGGGAGCAAGTGAAGACACTGGGTAATAATAATAACTGGTGTTTTAATTTCTCTTTTAATCCCCCCAAGCTCCTTTAAACTGCTGCTGCTTTCCATTTTTAGATGCCTGTTGTTATGTTTATTATTGATTTATGTATTTTATTAACATTCTATAAGCTGCTACAAATTTATGAGGAAGCATAGAAATATTTCTAACAGAGGGATGAACAGATGAATGAACAATCACCTAACAGGAGATCTTCTCACGTTCATCACTCATTATCCCTCCTCTGCCCTTCCCCATTCTCTTCCCCACCCAATGATGGTTAAGTTTCTAATGGGCAAAAGGCTCACTTTTGTTGCTGCTGCTGCTTATATTACTCTGAAAAGCACAGCAATATCTTAATAAGTCCTATGAAGAATTGCTGTAGTATAAGGCCGCTAAAACCAATAACTGGAATAACTCTGCATAGGGATGCACTGTAAAACACCAACACTGATAATAATTGCATTGGATCCTTCCCCAGCATCTTGACTTTGGTTGGGATGGATTCCAGTATCTATATATTCAGGTGCAATAAATGGTATCGTTAAGGATACTTCTGAAAGTCTCATCATCCAAACTCCTCTCTGGATTTTGGAGCTCCAAATCACCCAGTTTTGTTTACAAACTGCAACTGGCACATTAGCAATTTACCATTCCTTTTTTTAAAAAAAATATATATTGAAATGTGTTCAGAATATTGAACCATGCATGGTTTGCAACAGCTTCCTGACCTTTCTCTTTACTAGTGTCTTTTCTTCTCTATACACATTATGTAATATGTATCCACATACACATGTGCATCTAACACTGCAAAAAGCATTCTTTTTTGGGGGGGTTGTATTTTCGTGTGAGTGTGTGTGCACCTGGAAGTCATGGCAACCTCTGGTGACTGACCCCTATTGGGAGTTTGGAGGATATTCAGAGAGGTGGCTGAATAAAGCCTGCCCACGCCTCCCGACTGCTGGTATTTCAAGGAGGTCTCCCATCCAAGTACTTGCCAGAGTCAACCCTGCTTAGCTTCCGAGATCTGATGAGATGGGGCTTGCCTGGGCTATCCAGGTCAGGGCGCAAAAGGTATTCTTGATAGGACTGCATGCACAACTGCATCAAGATGTTTTTGGTGTAGAGTTCTACCAATGCATATATGCACATCTTTCAAAATTCTGCCAAAAAGAATTTTCATGCAATCATATGTATCATCGCATCGATGTGGCATTTTTGCACATCAGAAGCGGGAGGGTGGGAAAAGACAAAATAAGTGAAAACTACAGTAGAATCTGAAGACACCAATTCTAGAATCAGTTTTCATGGCTCTTCTAGTTAAACCAAAATCTGAGCGCATGCACAGCAGAGCAAAGTCTTACAACAAAAAATGGAGTGTGTCAGTGGAAATTTCCCCATCCCTGGCAGTTGTGCAGAACATGATCAATTTTGCACAAAACTGATTTTCCTGAGAATTTCTGACTTTCATTTAAACTAACAAAACAAGTTTCAGGTCTGGAGGGTAGCAAAAAAAATGCTGAAGAGTGCGGTTACCAGCTTATGTCCCAAAGGCCCACAAATCAATACATTGGTGGGAGGAAAGGTATGATAGCCTTCGTCAGTATCATCCAGCAACTCCCCAAACACCTAGAAAAAGTTCTGCCCCAGACATTCTACAAGAGGCCAGTTCTGGGATATTCCTTAAGATGATCCCCAAAAGCCTAACCTTACAAATGTCCGGAAACCTGTTGGTCCCAGCTTGGTAGTGCCTTTGACGCCCAGGAAGCGGATGAACAAAACAGCAATCCGTTCCACCAGCCGCAGATAGTTAAACTGCTTTGAATACTTTGGAAACACCTGCTTCAGGCACACGGTGGGCAAGTTGTTTTCAAGGGCTGCACTGGGCTCCAACTCCAATTTGTCCATTGATTCTTCTTCAGGGAAGTCTTTGTTTTCCTGGGATGCAAGCTCCACAGGCTGAGATCTGCAGGTCAGAACATTGATACAAAAACAGTGTCAAACAAGTGCCGGGTTTTTCTCCTCACCCAGAGAAATTATCATGATGGTCCATTAACATTCCTGTCTGTGCTTGTACCACCATTCCCCCCCCAAAGGTTAGGAAAGAAGCTGGTTGTGAATGTTTAATCAGACTTGGAAGCAACAAGTTTGCAGAACGTGGAATAGAAAAGGGAAGAAGGAGAAGGTTCAGGGCAGTTAGCCTGAAGTCCTTACCAGGAGTGTGTGGCCACAGAGGGAAGGCCTGGAGAGCCACGGGGTGCCCAGGCAAGCCAAGGGAAGGCATGGGGGTGTGGCCTAATATGCTAATGAGTTTCTGCTGTTGGTTGTGGCCTATTATGCTAATGCGTTCCTGCTGGGCTTTTTCTACAAAAAAAGACCTGCTCAAAAGTAAAGAAATGTTTTGTCTTGTGCTATTTATAGCATGACGTCAAGGCTCCCAATATTAGGTTTCTGGGCCAGCTGGAGCGAACCCCCTAGCCGGATGCTTGGCCATTCTAAGCAGGAAGAGAAACCAGGAGATATGCCCAGTCCAAACTGGGCTGACACACAGGGCTACATCGGCTCCAGGTGTCACAAGTGGCACAGGCTTAGCATAAGGCAAGTTTTATACTGTCATGTACTCCCCCACTTTCCCAAGCCATGAGAAGTGTGAGAAGCTGAGCCACAGGGTCTGGTTACCTTTGGAGGAACAGACAATGGAACCCTTTGGTTCCTTTACAGTAGTTGCTCTGTTTACAAACATACAAGATGAACGCAGGTGAAGACAGAGAGGCATGCCTTCAAGGCTGCAGAACCACCATACTGTATTAGTTCTCAGAGATAGCATGCACCCCAAAGTGTGCCACCTTCAGCCAACAGTCACAGCTCTCCGTTTGCCTTTCTCTTTGTTTCCTCCCTAACTTCTAATACCTGTTTTTTCATACACTACTCATATACCTGCTTCCTCCCATCAGCTGAAAGGGTGACACTTCCCCCAAATTCTGGTGGGCCCTTGACCAAGTTGACAAATGAGCAACTTTCTGCAGTCTTTAAAAGAACATTAACTTTTCTTTCTTGTCCAAAGTCTCCATCGAGTGCCGCTTTAGGCACATTCACAGAGACAACAAACCCACAACATTCCTTAAACATACTTTATGAAATTCCTCCTTTCACGCTAAAGATTTAGGAGGAAAGGGACATCCAGCCAAGTATCAGACAGGGGTCAGAGAAGTGCAGGGACTTTAACTGCAATGCAGTTTAATTCAAAAAGTCAATTCACACCTGCCGTCATTTGACTGTCCTCACACATCAGACTTGGCAACCACACGCTGAATTGATTCCACCCCAAAGCCTTGCAATACAGAAAAATCTGTCAAGATGGCAGATCCATGACAGTCCATTCACACAGGCAAGTTGCCTCTTGATGTCAGGTTTACAAAGTGCCAGTCATATGGAAGTGGACTTATGTGATTTCCATCGAGACCTATATGTTTTGGTTTTGCTGGGCTACTGATCCGCATACCCTTTTGCTTAAATCCTTGTACTTCAGTACCACTGGGTTGCCAATGGCATCCAATAAGAAATCCAATATTTCTCAACCAAAGGGGCTAATAAGAGCAGAAGTTCACATGGAACTGGCCCAAAGGGCAAGAACGCAGACTGCAGCAGGATATAAGTGAGAAGTGGCAGGGAAGCATAGAATTTTGAGCCAAACCATTTGCAAGAGGAATTTCACACTTCCCATTGGCAGGAAATGCCTAAGCCATCATCCCAAGCAAGAAATTTAGCATTGGTTGTTGCTGGGTTACTAGGGAAGGTATGATTAACACCCGAGACTTTGTGCCACCATCTGCCCCAAGAAGACACCATTAGAACAACCCTAAAACAGCAAGCATATTCACTGTATTCAGTGATGGCATGGAGTTAAACAAGTTTCTTGCTGTCAACTATTTCATGTGCCTGCTGCGTAGTGGTGGCTGATGACACCCCAATTCCAGTGCAAATGTTCTCCATTGCATACCATACATGCGTACTAGTGTCAAACTCTGTATCTTATGTCTAGCAGACCAAACCTTTTTGCTCGGTCCTACATAGAAACATGCATGGGCCTCTCACACTATTGAAGTGGTTCAAGTTGCTTTCCCTTTTTTTTCCTACAGGTGAGAAGCTGAAATTTGAGATGAGTTGAATCTCCCCATTTTGCTTCTTTCTACATTCATTTATATTATTGCCAGAGGTTTTGGTTCCCTGCTTTCTACTGTGGGCTCTGTAGATTTGTCTGCACTGTGTCTGCACATGTTATACAGTTCTTATACATAATTTATATGTGTAAAATGCACATTATCTATCGCTATAATATGCCCATGATTCTGATTTATTTATGCCTAAATAATGTTTAAAAATGTGAACGTGTTATGGTTAATATTGGGTGTGAGGAAAACAGAAAGCGGCACAAAAACAGAGAGCCCAAGGTTCAGTTCATCCAAGAG